ATTTATTTGAAATGTCAAGCACTTGTGCCTGTGCCTGTTGGTCTTCTTCAGGGGAAATACTCACTTAGCAAAAATGTCTCTGTCCTGCCCTCCAATCCTTCAGAGGCCAACGGATGAGCAGTAGGTGCTGGAATGGACAGAGCTCTGTATCAGCTCCAGATGGATGCACATCCGTTTCCAGGCGAGACCTTTAATTTTCAGTTTGTTTCATGAAGCAGTGTTGTCTCCGAGAGAGAAGGAGGGTTTTTATGTAAATTGATAACCGGGATAATGCATGTTCCTGGACATGGGTTTTACCACAGGTTAAGGTGGAGGACTGACATGAGCACCGTGGTAGAACATTGGCGTTACATCTTCAGGCTGTGCAGTGTTCTGCCCTGCTGCCATCAGAAAACATTGGGTGTGGATTTGCCACATTTGCATTTGTACTTCAGGCACTTGTGTAATGCTGTTTGAAAACAAGCAAGTTGCTCTATCCAGATTTCTTTGCAAGTGTGCGTTATTCTTTTATGTCCAGATAAGCAATGCAGTCCTGTGATCTCCTGGTATAAAAACTGAGCCTGCTCCTAAACAGCTTCTTCGTTTGTAGCCACGTGTGTGTAGCTTCTTCTCCTGTCTGTTTGTAGAGCATCCACAGCCATCATTAGCTGCTTGCATGCATATACAACACAGGCAGAGTCACAGTGCAGCACGGGAAGGGGAAAATGTGACTAACTCGTTGGACATGTTGCATGAATACCTATTAGCTGAACTTAGTATTTGCTGTTCTCCTTTACAGAAAAAGTATGTGTAGGCACCCACTGCCAGGGCCTCATCGAGTTTGCTCAGGAAAATCAGAATTATCTCCTTAATGCTTTTGCTTAAATGACTGAATAAATGTTATAAGAATTGCTTTGTTACAGTATTATTCATTTTAATTCAATTATTGCCTGGACCTAATCTTACTTTCAATTAGTTTTATAATGCTTATGAATTATTACCCTGTTTTACAAGGAAGAAGGATGCACTTGGAGGCAGAGAATAATGCAGGCATATGAGCAGTCCAGTTTAGCCAGTCACAGTCTGATGGGTAAGCAGGAGCATTCTAGTCCCACTGAAGTCTTCCATGTGGTTGCTGTGAATGCATCATGTCACTCTGTGTCTCTTTTCAGATATGTTATAGGGAAAAATATACTGCAAGTACAGAAATGAACCATGGAAAGAATTCTTAATCATGTGTCTGCAATTCTAAAGCAGGTTTAAAAGAAATTTTTTATTTTGTTTTCCCTTTCTAGAAAACTCCTGGAGAAAAAGAAATCTGAAGCAGGGCTGCAAGGAGTGACTGGAGAATGGTTTGAAGAAATACAAAGAAAAAAATTCCAGAATAACATTGATGTCAATACAATGCTAAAATCACCACTAGAGCATCAGCTAAGGAACAGCAAAAAGAGCAGTAAGCTGCATTTTCCCAGTTCCTTATCTATATCATAATGGGCACCAAAATAATGTCTTCAGCATTTCAGAATTTAGTAGCTAAGGAGTTTCTGACGTTGTACTGAGTTTCTTCTCCCATCAAAGTTTTGCCAAAAACACATTTTTCAAAATGAATGTTTTTGTAAGCAGATTCTTAGAGAATCTAAGGTAGAGATGTGAGTCATAAAAGAAAATCCCTGATACTCTCATCCCAGTGTTGCTGTTATTACAGTAAATTTAGTGGTGGTTTCCCAGTTGAAGTAGTAATATTTACTTCATACAAAATCTGTTTCAGCCTTCCCTGGTTTTCTTAAGGAAATCAGAAACACCTAAATGACATGTGCAAGTAGGTAATCTGGACTGGGTTGGGAGGTGTGGCTGTACTGGCAGGGACTTTTCTGGTATCACTGGGCTCAGGGCATGCCATGCTGATTACCAGGATGGGTGGCACAGCCTGGACAGCTGGGCTGACTGAGAAGGAAGAGCCAGAGATCTCATTTCACGGCTGCTGTTGCCCATCCAAAACGGACATGCATAAAACTCATGGTATCTTTACCAATCATGGCATCTGTACCATCTTTTTCATCTTCCCTCTAGATGGTTTTCATGCATAATGTATGCTTTCAATGCGTTCACTTTTTTGCACATTCTGCACTAAACCTCATAACAAGTAGAAGCAGAATCATATGAAGAGAAGTATTTCAAATGAAAGGTGAGGTTCTCAACATTTTGCTGAAATTACAGCCTTCCGCAGGACAGACCTCTCTTCTTTCCCGCCTGTCGAGCTCTCGGCATCTCTCTTAGACCACATCTATCTGGTTTTCTCTTTCAGAGGGGGTCTGATTGCTGCATTGGCTAACCAAGCTGTGCCTGATTGTTCTCCCCTGATCTTTGACTTTGAAAGCTACTGTTTCTATTTCAGACCTGAAGAAGGGGCTGTGTGCCTCAAAGGATTCTCTGGTATTTGCATCCTTATCAGTTTAACAGTAGGTTCTGCTACCTGCAGTCTTACTCTGCCTACATCCCTAGACCATTCTGCATGTGGCAGAATGCTGGTAGGACTCTCCTGATGTCATTTTTCAGTCCAGCAATGCCACAGGGTTAGGCTCTGAAGGGGCAAAGGAATCCCTAGCATACACAGTGATTGTCACTGAAGTGAAAGCTTAGGCACAGGATTGAAGTCACATGGCACATGGCATGCATTATTTGCTTCATTTTGAACTAAGTCCAAAACACTGCCTCTTGCTGTTTCTATTGGTGACACTTTGCTCCCGTTTCTGTTTTTGCTTTTTCCTGTGTTCATTGGATAAGCCATTTTCAGGCTGTTGTATTTTCTGAAAGACAAGATGTTTCAAATGGGGAAAAAAAAGAGATGCAGTGCTTTATTTCCTTATGTCCTTCAGATTCTTGTGATACATTTCAGCAGCAGATGCTGTGGTTTCTTTCCCTAACCTGTGAGTGGTACTTCTCCTCTCCTTGCCGTGGATGGCTCTTCCAGGCACACTGGGTTTATCAGCAGTGGCTTGCTGCAGTTGAAGAAATCAGGCTGTAACCTTTCTGAGGAAACCAGATCTTCAGAAAAATATCTGTGATATTTTGCATTTAAAAGCAGTTTCTAATGAGTGATTCACAGCAGAAAATACACACTCCAGAGCCTTGGAGTGGCCCAGGGAATCCCGTGAGAAGGAAGTGTTTAATACACAATACTGAATTCCCCTTAAGTAGTTACATTCCAGTCCATTAATTCATTTCAGGGCTCTAGAATTTCTTACACAAGTGAAAGGAAAGTGACTAATGATTGTGGGTGCCTCCATTTTCAAATGTCTCATTTGCCTTTATTTTAAAATGTTTCTGTTTTTCAAGTGGTTGAGTGCTATTTGCTTACTGAAAATCGGCCTCATTTGTCTCACACATATCACCCAGAAACAACAGTACTTTTTGAAACTTTAGACCTGCTTATCTTTCCTTTAGCCTTCTGGTTAGTCATTAGAAACCAGTATATGTCCCAGTATACATAAATGTCAGTAACATTGGATTTTTCTAGTATGAGAGGCAAGCAACAGAAAATTGTGAAAACCTAACTTTTAGTCTGCGTTTCAGTACTGTTTATAAGAAGAATTTGAAACCACTCTAATTTTCATAATATTTTTTAGATCATAAAGAATTCAAAATGTCGTCCTGCACAAATCCTCAAGCACAGAAGAACACGTCCAGTTCCTTCCTGGGGTTCAGATCACCTTTTGCTTGGCTTTTCTCCTTCAGGAAATCAAGGAAAACCCAGACTCAGAGGCAACCACGGTGAGCTACAATAAAAACATACTAAAAGTCTTAAAAGTATGTGAATTGTGTTTTGCTTAGAAAGCTTGGTTAAAAGTAATTCTCCTGTCTCCTGCAGGAAGGCTGATGTGTTAGTTGGTCATGTAATGAGGGATTGTCTGCTATGTGTTGGAAGAATAAGGATTAAGTGGCAAGTAATAGCTAAAGTCTCCTGGCTGTTTTGTTCAGACTTTAGAGGTTCTGGGTGTATTGCAGCCCCTGGATGTAATGTCAGCGTTCTGTTTAATTCCTCTGCAGGGCAAGGTGTATGGTGACAGGGACCTGGTGCCCTCTGGCAGTGGCATCACAGGGAAGATCACTTTCCCAGACTGTGCAGAGAGTATGGGCCGGAGGCAGCCTTACTGCAGCAGTTCCCACTTTTCTGGCCCAGGGGCAGCTTAAAGCTGTGCCTGGAACTCCATTCAGACAAATCGGGCAGCTCCTGGTTCTTTTGTCTCTGGTGCTTCATCAGGGCTTTAGTTTCAACTGGACCGAGGACCCGCACATTGGCAAGTGCTGATGCTGCAGGGTTGGGAGAAGCATCCTTCCCCCTCACATCCACAGGACTAAAGCCACTGCTTAAAGGATGTGGGGGCTACACTCAAACTTGTTAGACAGTTTTCTCCTTACTTTGTCCCATGTAGTCCCTTTCCCCAGGTGCCACCATGAGCCGAATGAAATATTACTCTTTTTGTGTACATCTTGGTTAATTTGAACTCAGGACTGAGAAAGATGGGTGAACAGACTTCGTGCAGTGCTTTCATATCCAAGTATGAAGCTGTGAGATCTTTGGCACCAATAGCTGACTGTCACTGTTTGAAGGTGTTGGACTGGTCCCTGGGTGGTACAGCACTGGGACGAGGAACTGCTCTGGTAAACAAGGAAGGAGAGCATCAGGAAATGTTGATCAGTGGGATGCACAGGCTTTGCAGCACAGCTGCATGCCATTGTGGGATCAAAGCAAGTAAAGAGAGGTCGAGTAAAGGCAACAAGGTTAGCTTTGTGGATGTTTACTGGTAACAGTTCTCCTACATAGCAACACAGCATAGGAAAAAAAACGCAAAACATTTGTAGAGTGTTATAGCAGACACCTGTACACGTCACCTGCTCCTTCCTCCTTCCCTGGCAGGGACCGTCCCATGTGCCGGGATGTGGCACAAGGCTGCGGGTGCCCACAGTCCCTCCTGCTGTGCCAGCAGGCTCCTGGCTCAGGGAGCTGGAGCTCTTCATGCCAGCATGCTGATGCAAAAGGGTTAGGCTGGAGCTAAGCACTGGAATGGTTTCTTAAAAATATAAGTCATGCCCGCTCGTTGCATCATCTCCTCTAATATATACTTATCTCGCTATTCTGCAGAAAATCTATCCTATCTTAGATTCGGATGCCTTTGGTTTCTTGCAGCACACAGCTTGAAAAATAAACAAGTCAGTCCTGACGTGTAGCTGAGCCGATTGCCACATTTTCAAGCCACGCCTCTCTGTCGAAAACTTCCCCCACCCTCTTCTAGGTGTTGCCGTGGCATGTGGTTTGCTTGATGCATAGGCAGTGTGCTGAAATAATCTGCCTCTCGCCAGGTAGAGTTATTCCAGGGAGTCAGAAATACAGCAGCAGGCAGCAGTGCCAGTCCTGTGGAGAAGTCTGCCTGGCAGAGGCTTGAGCAAGCTTAGTGCCATTGAGAGGGTCCTTTTTGTGTCAGAGAGACAGTGTCATCAGCCGTGGTGGTGTTTTGGTCTGAAAATGGTTATGGATGCTGCAGAAATGACTGTGCTTATGTGGAGATACAGAAGATGCTAATGAAAGGTTTGTAGCTGTAGTTTGAAGGTGCAAAATATTTGATCGTATTTGGTTCAAGGGTGCTCAGTGTTCTTGAATTCATTTTTGCTTTCTTCTATTACGTGCTAATGATGCTGGAAAAGAAATGCTATTTAATTGTGTTTTCAACAAATTGGAGTTACGTGTGTGTTGCTTGGCTGGCTTCTCAGGTAACGCTGATGAGGAGAGTGCAGAAGAAAATGGATTACAGTCTGACATTGTTAACTTGGACATGGCCTGGGGAAGACAGGTGCTGCAGTGAAAACAGCAATTTGCAGCAGATTTCAATTCATGGGTTTATATTACTGTTATCAGTAGTGGTAGTTTAGAGTCCTACATTTAGTCTTACATTCTGTTACAATAACATGTATATGTATATACATGTATGTAAGTGAAATTGTTTAACAAATAACTGTTTTCCAAAGTAAGAAGTTGGGTCTTTGATAGCAAATATTTTTGAGCAGAATTTAACTCCTTTTCTGATTGTGAATAACGTTTACAAGTGTGTGTGTGCATGTGCGTGTGAGAAATAATGTAAGCATTGCTTAATAGCCTTAACCAGGAGAGAAACTGAATTACCTATTCCTAAAATTAAACAGCGATTCTCTGGAAGAAAACAGAACTGGAATTTTTGAAAGGCTGAAAGCTAAGAAAAAAAAAGAAGAGGCAGGTTAGGAGGTGGAGAGATTGACATGGGGAAGAGATTAAAATCATCTTGTCTGTGTTGCTTGGCGGGGAGGAACACAAGGCAGGATGCACTGCCAGTCATTTCTCAAGGAACAGTGACAACAAAGACGTGGAGGATTTAGAATAGCGCCAGAGGTGCACTGACAATTGGGTTTTTGCCTAGACTGGCAGCAGAGGGTTCTCACTGAAGGGCCTGCTTCCTGTGAGCTTCCATGCACTGAGCAGTCGCTTTGTGCCCAGTGCATGGGAGGGCAGTGAGCAGGGAGCAGCTCTGCATGGCAAAGCTGAAGGAGGGAGCTGCTGGCCAAGCTTCTACTATTCTAGAATTAAAATGAAGGTGGGTCGCTAAGACAGAGGTTTTCATTGAGCTTGCTCTGCAGGAAATCATTGTAAAAATTCTGGAATAGAGTTTAGTTCATGTTTATGGTAGAAGGATTCAAACATATTTGACATCATTTTGCTTTAAAGGAAGAGTTACATACACCTCTGAGTCCTGATTCTGTAAACTCACAGGGAGAGGTCCCCCACTGAACGAATGGCTGTTCACATTCAGGGTTCCAGAAAAAAGGAGGACTGTCAGATTGGGATTGCCTGGTCCAAAGCCCTCTGAGATCACCGGCCTTGTTTCCATTGGTTTCAGTTGAACCCCACGGCAGAGAGGAATCTTGGTTTTAAAGTTCACAATTACAGAAGCAAAAACAAATTACACCTTTCAACTGTTCTTCCCTGCCCGCAAGCACATTGCAAACAAATGACAAAGCACTTGGGGAGGAAGGCTTGGCCGCAGCGAGCCTGCCAACGAGCCGGTTCCTACTTGCTGCCGAGGCACAATAAAACAGTCTGCCCGAGCACGAGGAGGTTTTAAAAGCCTAAGAACAAGGCTGTTCAGAAAGGCTTTGAGGCAAACAGGAATGAGCAGAATCTTCTGTCCCTCCTTCACTTTCTCTCGAGAACTTCCTGGGAAAAAAGTTTCTGCAACCAGGAAGGGCGGGCAGCGAGCAGAAGCTGCGCCCCATTTCCCTTGGGGCTTTTGAAGGGTCTGGGTGTGCTTGTTCATAAAGCAAGGATTCGAAGACCAGAATGGACTCGGTGAGGTCAAGTGTTCTTGTTTCTTTGGTTCTTTCCCTGCTGGTACACCTGCAGAGCTGCATGCTCACAGTGTGCAATGAGTGCTGCTGGGTGAGCTCTGCCATCCGCACGGCGCGTGGAGCAGTCAGTTCCCTCATCGTCCTCAGAGAGCATGTTTAAAATGGATATATGAGGGCTGTTCTGGATGAGCAAGTTCCAAGTTCGCACCAAAACCTATGTGCTGCTGTGTGCCCCCCTTGGCAGGGCAGAGCTGATGTAGTGGTGAGTTGGACCTGGTGATCCTCAGAGGATTCTTCCAACCCTTATGATTCTGTGATTCATTATGTGGAGAAATATGGAAGAGAAAACACAGTAGAAATTCAGATACAAACCAGTTACCTATTTACATTTAGTCAACTCCAGCTGCTCATGGTGCCCACCACCTTACTGTTGTTTGGAGAAGTAGCAGTATCCCGTTGTAATGCTGGATGTGAACCATGACTGCGGCTGTTGGAAGCACTGAGCTATCAGCAGGTTGAGTTCATTCTTGGCCTCACAACCAGAACATTTGCAAACTGACAAGGCCGAACCAAATGGTAAATTTCCTCAGCCTTTTTTTGTCAGCAGGACTTTTTGGCAGGGGGTGGGTTCTTCTTGAAGCAGTCTTTTTTTACCAGTCCTCTTGGTAGTTGTTAAAGGGAAACTGCTGCTTATTTACTACCAGGTAAAATGATACCATGTTTCTTTCCCAAGCCAACTTTTAAATCCTTCTGCTTACAGATATGATGACTCTGTGAGCACAGCTCCAAAGCTGGAAGAAATGGCAACGGTGAGTAGCAGATTGACTTTATTCTCAGCTGTGTTTAAATCCCAAGCTTTTCAAATACTAATTCCCTTTGTTTGGGCTGTTGGGATAATACCTGTTTAAGTAGTGTTCTCCCAGTTCTTGTTTTAAACACTGAGTAAACCATGTTATGAATCTGTTGGTGGCAACGAAATGGAACTTACCCAGTAAACCACAGGCTTCAGCTCTCTCATAATGATGAAACAACTGCAAGAATAAATTCACAGACCAGAATCTTCACATATTTTGTCAGATGTAATCGAAGTACAAAATATCAAAACTCACTTTGAATAAATAGTTTATTGACATAGTTCTTCATTTGTACATTCCACAGTAGTGGAAAACAGTAGCTGGCATGGGTAGGCATTGAGCTAGAGCCTGCTCCTGCCCCATTTCCACACATGGAATTCACGTGTAAATGTGAATTTTGACAGTAGGAAATTATGTTTTGACTGAATGTTCCAAGTTATGAGCACTATCTCAATTCAAGCATGAAAAAAAACAAATTTATATGTGACATAATTTACGTGTTCTCTGTTGCGATAAACAGATTTCCTCCAAGGATGATATTTGTTATTTTAATTACTTTATTGCCCTGTATTACTAACATGTCTTTCCTCCTCTTCAATTGTATGGTATAACCACAGAGGGGACTAAAAATGTGTACAGTATGTAATCAAAGGTGTAGAGGAGGTAAATTAGCCACCACCCTTCTCTCAGACTTCAAAAACAAAGGGATAATCTTTAGTAATATGTGATGGAGACAGACCTCATAAAGATTCATAGAATCCTGACTATTGTATAAACAGTTTATTACAGCTAAAATATTACAAATATTGAGAGCTAAAAAGTAGTAAGGGGTTTAATTAAAAAAATGAGGAAGCTAAAATAAAGCAGCAGTTCAGCAGCTGTCTGTACTGTTCTCACCTGAGAACATGAGCTGAGAGAACTGTGGATGGGACATGAACCTCTCCAGCTTGGCACAAAGGCTGGACTCAGACCCATGGGGAGCAGGGGAACATTTTTCCTACTTCTAAGGTCATTTATCACAGCCTTTCAAAATGGTTTTGGTGTAGTACTCAAACAGAGTAATGGATCAGATGTGGAAAGAGAATATCTGCAATCTGAAAATTGACTGTGGTAATTAATAATTAAATCTCTTTAGGGAGATCAACTTGCAAATTTTAAAATGTGTTGGTCCAAAAAAAGCACTTAGGAAGTCGTAAGTGAAAAGATGCAGAAAGGATGCATGTGGAAGAAAATAAGTGAACAGCACCCCTAGTTATTCATAACTGGTGTATCCATAACATAATACAGTATGAGGATCAGGTGAGATAATCTTCTGCATGAGTAAGAGCCTTGAAAATGGATGCAATTTTACAGAACCCTAGTTGTATATTTTAATGACATAGCATATCTTAAAAAGAATTGTGGATCCACAAAGAATTTACTGGCCTCTGTGATTTGTGACGTGCTTTGTGATGTGACAGGATGCTGGGGATTTGAAGCTACACTTAGAACTGAAATCACATTGCCTTACACTTGTTCACAGATTGAAACATGTAATGCCCCAATGTCAGCTGATACAAGTGGTCATTCTTTTGATGTAAAACAAGATCAAGTGATGGAAGAGAGCACCCAGGAGTGGAATGAACAGCTAGAGAAGGAGTTTTTCAGTGGTGAGTGAATGTGCTAACTTTATTAGAATATAATTCTTGTTAGAGGTGACTGTGGTAACTAGTTTCTGAGATTTTCTGCAAATGCATAGGCTGCAAGGATATGGCTCATTACTTCTAATGCAGTGACTACTTTTGCTGACTTTGTCTGCTCTGACATGAACATTAAGATGGGTCACCTTTCCCTCTTAGTCTGTATGTCATCCTGTACAGAATCAGTTCAGAAAAATCACATCTGATTGTGTATATTTCTCTCTGCTTAGTCTGACTGAAGCCCCTATTGCTTTCTTTAGATGTAGATGTAGTTGTGGGAGAAGAATTTTATCCCCGTCTCCTGCACGTGTGATTTTGATAATGAACCGTTGAGTGTGCATTTCTGCACTTAATGCTTCAAGCCACAGAAGCAAGAGGCACTAAGGCTTTCAGTTACCTTTCTGGGAGCTCTCACAGGATCATCATTTCTTGCTAGTTCTTTTTCTTTCTGCTGAGTACTGAGGCAAGATCAGAGCCAGTTTACAGGAGTACTGTCACCCAGAATTCCAACAAGAGCTCACAGCTGGGATTTAAAGTGTGATTAGGAAGCAGTGGGTGAGCTGGGAGTGCTGGAAGAGGAGAGCACTGTGTGCTGGACAGTGGTTCTCCTGAAACTCACATAGCCATCACTGCTCTGGGCATCAGTCATAACTGTAAGTCCCTATCAGTAATAACTCCCTGAAGAAAAACTTCTCTATTTTCTTGTACTAAACTGGCTCTATGGGACTCCACTCTCTCCTGTGCTGAAGAGAAACTTAGAAAAACGGAAAGAATAGTTCCTTTTTATTCCACCTATACATTCCTAGCGGTGCTTTCTTGGTGATTCAATATGATTAGCAGAGATTTGTATTGACTGATCAGTCAGTCTTTTTATTTGACTGGGTTAAGAAATGCTGTAACGAAACATCCAAATCCATTTGGTTCTGTCATATGTCTTCTGTATTTTCAAAATATAGAAAGAATACAATGAGCAAATGCATAATTATTTAGAAAAGAAATACTTAAATATGTTGCTGTTTGTTAGTCTCGTGACTGAATATCGTGATTAACTGAGCAAATTACCAAATTGGTTTGCGAGATTACTGAATAGGCATGTCTGCCATGGCTTGCAGAATTTTGTGTTCCCTTCCACTTAGACCATAACTGCATGTTGTGGTCACACGGAGGGCTCCCTGTTTGCTGACAAGCATTGTGAAATCTTTTCAGGGCTTTTTGCACAGATTTGGGAAGTTTGCCCACACACACACATTTAGCTAGTAAAGATGAACTTTAAATTTTTTAGTTTTCTTCTAAATAACATAAAGCCTAACGTTTACATCAAAAACAGTTTTGAGATCAGAGATTTTGAGATTAGAAGCAGTGGTTTTTTTCAGTTTCTTGTGTTCTTAATCAGTGACCACTGATAGGTCCTGTGGAAGAATGCATGGTTTGGAAACAGCTTTGTATGTTTTGAAGCTGAATCCTTTCTAAACCAGTTTTATACAGTCCTTTTTTTAAACATAAATACTCAGAAGATTATTGCAGAAAGCAAAACCAAATATCTGCTTCTCTTGTGCAGTTCTTAGTGATCTAGATAATCAGCTGGCCCAGGAGCAATCCCAAGATCCTTTGGACAGGACAGATTCTACTAGCAGTGCATCAAGTGTGCAGTACAATCAAGATGCCTTCCCCACTTTGAAGAGGCACACTGCTAATCGAGGGCAACTCAGAAATGACTGGAGCGACATACAAAGCACATTTTTCCCAGATGGACTGAGAACAATAAGAGCCAAAGATGAACACAAGATCCTCATCAGACCAAGGAAATTGCACAGTGCATATATAAACTGGCAGCAGACAGCCTTTCAAGATGATTTTAAATACAGTGATCCAGCTGATGGAAATTCTCATCTGCGAAGCAGCAGGCTGCCTTCCGTTTCTTTTGGGCGGTCGTCAGAAGGTAGCTTGTATCCTCCTTCCATAACACAGAACAGTGGATTTAGGCACAAGAGTTACATGGACAGGGGTACAGCTGGCAGAAGTTACTCGGTATGTTCCCTTCGGAGATGCCCATCATCAGTATCTTCTGATCAGCTATCAGCATCGAGCTTGCAGTGTCCATTGGCAAGGGAGAACAGCAATGGCTTTGTACCAAGGTTTGGTCGACAAAACCCAAAAAGAATTCCTTTGTCTTCTATTGTATGGAACAATACACCAGACTCTCCTGGGCAAAGATCAACTCAAGAAAAGATGTTTAGAACCCAATCACTGATGGAGTTTCATGCTACAGACCATGGCAGATATCCTCGCTCTTTGCAAGACAATGAGAAATATGCCTGTTACCACTCAAAACACCACTACAGGAGATCTATTTCAAGCAGTAATTGCTTCAGTAGAATTAGTTGCCCTGACAAAGCCACTTCTCCATTGTCCTTTGATAACTGGGAAAATTGTACATTCTACCAATCAGAAAGTAATATTTCTAGATCATACTGTAGGGATATTTCTTCTCCTGGCACGTTGTATTCAAACCACAAGAATTCTCCTTATGGAAAGACAGAGAGCTATCTTTCTTGGACTGATATTCCTCAATACTACAATGATAATGTGTTTATTTCTCCTGATACCAGATTTGAAGTGATGATGGCTAATTTGAATGACCAGCAGCTGGCATACACAAGAAATGCTAAGTTTGCTTCCCAGCACCTGCAGAATGATTTTCACATGTATTCTCCAGAAAATATGAATATTAAAACATTAACGAGAAGTGCAAGTAGAGCTTTTTCAGAATTCACTGAAGGCCATCAGCCACATCTAAGCTGTAACTCTGTAGTTTCTTCTTCTGTTGTCAGAAGCGATGACTCTGTCTCACCTAATTTGAAGGACCAAACAAAACCTATAGGACTGAACAGGAATTCAGTCATTACCCAAAGAGGCACTAAGGCAGGTGTTACACAACTAGAAAAGGCTGAACGTAGGAAACTGCCAGATGGAGTGGACACCAAAGACATGCCTTTACAGTCTGTTTCTCAACAAGCAGATAAAACCTACATCAATACCCAGAGCTTTCCCTCGAATAACTCTGCTTTTGCTATGTTGCAGAGTGATGCATCTCTCTTTAATGCACTGAGATCAAAGAGACAAACCCAAGTCAGTGCCAGAACAGATACTGCAAAAATGGTTGCAACGAACAGCAATAAAAGAAATGTACAAGTGAAGGAAAATAATTGCACACCCAACAGCGTATTCAGTCAGTCTCCCTGTACTTTGCCAGCTAACAAGAACAAAAAGGAATCTTTTCTTCCAAGCCAGAAAGAATGGGAACATAATCTGCAGTATGTGAGAAGAAGAGGGAGCGTCATACAGGATGATCAGAGTGCAGAAGCCGTTAACCAAGCTGCCCCAGTGGGACAGCCTGCACAGCTGAATGCTGCTTCTGCTCCATCCACTGAAAAACTAGCAAACTATCACAGCCTGTTGTCCTGGCCTCCTGACCGTTCATCCAGTTCCTCACAAAGTTCGCCACCAGCACTTTATCACGGAGTTGGAAAAGCAGCTCAAGTGAGTGGAATGGGCGTTACCAAAAAGACTCCACAGGAAACACCACAAAATAGAAGCACTTTAGTTTCTAAGACCTGTAGCGAACTATTCAACGCTAGTTCTCCACGACAGGGAAATTCTGGAAGTACTTCTGGAAGTACATGTGGTTTTGATGGAGATCCCAAGACCCCTGAACATAATTATTTTTGCTTTGAAAAAGAAAATGGAAAAACAGGGAATCGTTCACCTTGTACTGAAAGGCTTCACAAGCAAGACAGCTTGCTGAGACATACCAGTAGCTGCAGCATCACTGGCTCCCCAAGGAGAAGCAGCCTCAAATCCTCTGATCCACTTGTTATTTATTACACTTTACCAAGAAAATCAGCTAGCATTGCTGGTAGCATTATGTCAGATACACCCATCTCTCTCCCTAGAGATAACAGAAGAAGCATGTATGGTTGTTTAAGGACTGAAACTCCAAGTGGAGCATATCAATGTTCTAGTCAAAGAGATGTGTCTTGTTTAGATTCAAAACATTCCTTCTTAAGGTCAGCACCATTAAATGTTGCTGCAAGTAACAAAGAGAAACATTACCCCAGTCCTTTAACCAGAAGTCCTGATGATTTGACAAGCAGCAGCACACCAGTTGAGCTGAAAGACAGATGTAAGCATCTAAGCAAAAGAGAATCCTCTGTGTTTTCAGATTGTAAGGAAAGGGGAAACTGTTTGCAGAAATATAAAACTACAAGCACGTTTACAGTAAGTGTTGATGAAGATCATGTCAAGTACCATGAGCTAGTTTCAATTTATTACACGTTGCCACGGAGGCATTCCAAAACATTTTGTAACCTCTTTAGGGATAATGCAGAGGATGCAGATTTGTCTCTTCCCGGTGAAAATTCTCAGTCACCAAGAATACGAAAAAAGAAGAGTGAAGGTCACGTGAGTTTAGCAGATGTTTTTTTCCCCAGTCCTTTGGAAAAAGAGGTGCCTTCCTGCTCTTCTGACCAAGCACCTTCAGCTCCGGTCACACCTCAGAATGTAGAATCTGTAGTTCACCATGAAGAAGAGAATTCCCACTCATCTCCTGACTCCAAGAAGGTATGTCCTTCCAAGTCAGTGAGCATGGTAAATAATAGGAATGACAGTTCAACAGATGTTTCAACAGATCATGTACTTTCTGATGTGGCAACAAAAGACGTTTCTTTAGGTGCTCCACAACCCACTGCAGTAGTGGGTAACTCAGGTAACAGCCTTTCTGATGCATCAAACAACCAAAATACAGAAACATACCCAAAAGAAAAGAAGGAAATTTCTCAGACAGCCACACCACGAAAATCCACTTTACCAACCCCTCCCAAACCAGGCAGACCTTCAGAGAATCGCTTTTATTCTGCTTCAACAAGTAAGAATAGCATACAGAAGGGAAACTCTGCAAACTGCTCTCAGCCTGCTCCAGTAAGTACGAATAAAAATCAGAACAGTTTGCTTCTCCACGTGAGAGAGAAGGGCTCTCGTGGAAGGATCCACACAGAGTGTGCTGATGTGCCATTGCCGCCTGGGGAGGACAAAGGCAGGGGTAGTACCAAAGTGAAACAGGGAGTAAATTTCCCACACCAAACCACCCCTCTGTATAATCACAGAAGCAGCAGACTGCAGTTAAGAGCTGGCAGTTCAAGAAATAGCGCAAACATTGTAAGCTCTTGTAGCAAAATGCCTTCAGAGTCTCAGAAGAAAGCATTTGAGGTTGGCACAGCTTCCAGTGCTGATGCACTGCTTCAGCCAGATGAAGCTATTAGTGCAGGGACAGGTGAGTTAAAGAACTCTAAAATTAAAAAAGAGCAAAAGTTGCAAAGTACTCAAATGGATAAAGACTGTAGTGGCTTGCAGGCATTAGGGAAGCACAATAAGGGCAGCTTGGATGTTAACAGTAAAGACAAAGTTTTCAGGGTTACACAAGACCAAAAATTAACACAGAATGTAGAAAATGAGAACAAGCTTCTCTCTGACTGCACAAGAGACAAAATCAAAGATATAGAAAAAAGGAAAAACAGGCCTTCAATTAAAAATAAACTGGCAGCTGTTTGCAAAACAAGTCGAAAATTTTCAAGTAAAAATTTACCTCCCAAGCCGCACATAAGTAATATTTTTTCACAGAATGATGGAAATGCCACTTGTTTAGAGGTGAGCATGTCCCCTGACTCACTGACTTCAGCAGATTGCCATCAGTCGCTTCTGCAGTCTGAAACCAAAAATCAGAATGACAGTCTGGACTCTGACAAGAGTACACAAATACCAAAACCAGCTGAGATTAATAAGAGTGAAAATGTGAATGATCCTTCTTTACTTGTTAACAACTTAAATTGGAGGTCTCTTAAAAGCTATTACGCCCAGAAGGAGGCCATCAGTTCCAAAAAACCTACAGCGAAAGTGGAAAATAGGCCAGGTCTTACAACCCAATCTCCAGATAAAGCGTTAGCCACAAGAAATAAGAATTCCCGAACGCCTGATCTCAGGTTAGAAAATAGAAGCCAGCCCATCTCACCCAGCACTGCTGCACTGGACCCAACAGATGATGAGAAAGGAAGAGCTAGCAGCAGTGCTTGCACTCTTCCTTTGCCCCTTTTAACTGACAAAAACTCAAACACATTTATAAATAATTGCTTGCAGGCTGACATATGTCCAAAGCAGAACTTGACTTCTCAGGCAAGGCTTACTGAACGCCAGAATGCCTCTGAATCCAACAGCTTAAGAAATGCAAACTTGCATAGCCAACTGTTGCGCAAGGCTTGTGCGAAAAATGAGCGTGAGCGTCACTTTTCTGAGAGTATTTGTGCTCAAGATTCCCATCAGACGTTTGCCTCTGGGAGCAATATTCTGCCAAAAGACAGTGTGCATGGGAAGAGATGTAAATCTTACTCAGAGGTGTTGTCCTGTGATGAGAATGAAAACTGGGCATTGGATGAGGAACGGTGTCACAGTACGAGGAATCTGATGTATCCTTCTGTTGAGTTTGGTATATTTGGCAAAGATCAACAATTGGCTTTCCTGGAAAACATCAAGAGGTCACTCACAGAAGGGCGACTGTGGAGACCTTGTCTTCTTAACAACCCAAGTGCTTTCCGAGATGGAGAGTCCCCTTCCATAAACAGAACAGAGCTTTTCAGCTCGAGTTCTGCTGGGAGCAAGGTATCCTCTGCTGCTTCGTCGCCCCAGGAGCTGCCTGACATCTATCAGGATGACCCAGCTGCTTACTCAGACTCGGACTCCGATACCACCACAGATGATGAATATTACCTGGACGAGATAGATAAAGAATCAGAACTCTGACTGCCCATGGTACATAGATGGTGAGATAGTTCCTGAGCAGGCAAAAACCTGACAAATACTTTGAGCCAGTCCTAGTGCTGCTGTAGAACAGTACTGAAATAGATAAATTCATACTTTACCTACATTTTCTCACATGTCTCCAGAGGAAGGCAACAGGTTACTTTGCTGATAAGCATTTTTCCAGCTCTCCCTGTTTACTCGACCAAACGTAATAGTGCTGATCCATCCCACCTTGCCAGCACCCACACAAAATGCTCTAGAAGTGAATAACTTCACAGCAAATTTCGCTGCTGGAAAACTGTGAAACTGCTGACACAGATGAGCATGGAAATGCCTTTCAGATGTGCATGCTGGGAGATGCACAGCTGACGCAGCTTTGGCTGCAGTTCAGATGCATTGCCAGGCTTCTGCCTTTGACTCAGGAACACATTAATTTGGATTAATGATCAGGCACTTTGAACCGTGCAAAATGTAAAAGGATGTTGACCCTGTTTATTTCGAATACAAACCCGATGGTTTGAATCTGAAGCTATTCTAGCACTGGGAGAATGAATGCAGCAGATGCCTTGGGGCTGCCCTGAGCCGGGCTGTGCCTGGTGAGCCTGTGCCACTGCTGTGCAGCACGCACTGGCCTTGTTTTCCCACCAAGTAAATAAAATGGGTGAAAAATGCCCTTTACCCTTTGCTCAATTAATACCTCTTCCTGGTAATTTCCCACAGTTCCCACTGCCACCCTGGTGCTTTCTGTCCTTTGAACCAAAAAGCTGCAGATGGTTCCCTGTGGCTGTCAGCCACACTGACAGATGCGGTGTTACAGCTCAGAGCCACAGTGCACCCCTGGCCATTCCATGCTCACTGAGCTTTGATCAGCGGCTTGCTGAGCCAGCAAATAGTATTTTTAAATAATTTTACATTTGTTACTACTTTAATAATTTCACATGTGGTCTAAAGTGCTGATCCGTATTTTTGATACACTTTTTAATTCGATAAAACTTCTGCAGGACTTAATTATATTTTTGTAACTGGAAGGACAATATCCTAATGTTTTCAAATAATATATTATAAACAAGCAGTGCTTGTCTTGCTTAATGCTCTACAAGAAACTAAAGGATGAAAATATTACTGAAAGTAACTGGTATCCTTATTTTTTATATGTAAACTTCGTTGAAGAAGTGGGTCTCTAACTCAGATGTGTATCTAAGTATTACTGCTTTATACTGGGATAATTTGTCTTTTATTATACATAAATGGACTAATATAAACTGTGTATTTATAGTCAGAATTTATCTGTATGGTATGTCTGTCTTGGAAGAATGTAAGCATATACTGGCATATGCAGTATTGGAAGGCAGTAACTACTATGTGACTGTAATCTTGTAAAATGTCCTATTCTGAGGAGGATTTATGTTTTTCTGTAAATGGTTCTATGTGTTCAGGATCTTGTAGAGTAAGACAGTGAAGCCATCTGAGTGCCAGATTGTACATTTCTGCAAAATGTTAATCTAACAACTGGGAAGACCAACCTACATAAGTTAAAGGATAATAAAATATATTTTTACAAGAGAGGTAAATAGTTGTACAGTTTTACTTGACTGGAAGCAGATGGCTTAGAACATTTTTATTTGTAAATATTTTCTACTTCTTCAGTAGAAGTTGGATTAAGTTCTCACCTTGTTGGCATAAAAGATGTTTTTTCATTTGCTTTGCTATTCACGTACCGGAAATGAGGTGGCTTAATTTACTGTAAGTAAATAAAGAAAATGGCTTCTGGTAATAAATCAGTTGTGCAATAATGCATCCTGTCAAGGAGCTGTAATTGAATATTGACATCAAATGGTGGTATTCTGTAAAGCAGTTATGTGAGAAGAGGGAGAAAAATCCTTCGAGTAGCCATTAGTTCCATTCAGTTTGGCAGAACCAGATTTTGATACCTTCACTCTTCCAAGCTTTTTCTTTGGCAAAAGTATATATTCTATACATGCACGTAATTTATAGGATTTTCATATCTAAACAAACTTGTTTGCAATAAATATTGTTCAAAGGAATGAATATATTGGTACTGTGTTTATTCTTTCACTTACTGGGAACACTATGGACTATTTATCCATTCTGTGTCCAGGCCTAGGGCCCCCAGCACAGAAGGAATGTGGAGCCATTGGAGCAGGTCCATAGGAAGGACACAGAGATGATGAGAGGAACACCTCTCCTGTGAAGAAAGGTTAAGGGAATTGAGCTTTTTCAGCCTGGAGAAGGCTCCAGGGAGACCTCATTTCTGCCTTCCAATACTTCAAGGGAGTGTATAGGCAGGAGGGGAAGAGACTTTTTATGCAGTTTAACACTGATAGGACAAGGGGAGATGACTTTAAGCTTACGAGGGGAAATTCAGGTTAGTATTAGGAAAATATTGTTTACTCAGAGTGAAGTGAGGCATTGGCAGAGGCTGAGAGGTTGCAGATGCCCCATCCCTGGAGGCCCTCAAGGCCAGGCTGGATAGGGCCCTGGGCAGCCTGATCTGATCAGTGGCAGCCCTGCCAATGGTGGGCAGTTGGAGCTGAATGATCTTAAAAATCCCTCCCAACCTAAGCTGTTCTGTGATTTTATTATTGTTGGCAGACTGCTGCTCGTTCCAGTTGCAGAGGTTTACAAGGGTAAACCATTGGTCCGTCACACCACTGTAGGCAAGATGGCTGGAAGGCGGCAGGCCCTGCATCACACACACCGGGATGTGATGCTGCTGAGATGCACATCTTTGCCTGCTGTGGTGCTGGCTTGCAGCACTCAGCAGCTGATGAGCTTGTCAGTTACCAACTGCCTTTAGTCGCCTGCCATTCGATGAGTCTCTGTATACTCTTTTCCAACAGCAATAGTATTTTTACAGGAGACACGTTAATGCCTTAGAGAGCCATACGCCTGTAGCTCACCTTTAGGAGACGATACTCCAGGTGGAGCCAAGAGTGGTGTTTGATGAGTACTTTTACAAGGCAATGAGATCCATGTGAAAAACACTTCAGCCAGAATTAGACCTTGCTGGAGACTGCCTGCCACGTGCAGCATGATGGTGTGTGAGACTCACTGCTGACTGTGAACTTTAATTACTACAGCCAGCCCATTTGGTACCCAAGCTCAGTGACACCATCCCTCAGCCTGGTTTCGTAAGGAAACACAGTTTCTGTGCTACAGTTGTGTTTATGTCTTTATCTTGCTACTCCCTTTACATCACTCATAATGCCAGAAGACCTCTGAACTAACCAACAAATCCGTGACACTGGAAGGAAGGGTCAGAAAGCCCGTGGTTTCATCACAGCAGTGCTGAGGCTGGGATGGAGTTCAGGTCTCTGGTTCAGTCTCCTGCTCACAGAAGCTCAGCTTTGAGGTCAGACCATGCTGCTCAGAGCAACGTCCAGCTCAGGCTTGAAACCTCCATGGATGGAGAAAGTACTGCCTTTCTGGGCAGCCTCAGCCTGTGTGTCCTCGTGGGGAAGAAGCTTCTTATATCTGGGTCAGTCAAACATCTCATTTGGTTTATGCTTGTTGTCTCTCATCCTCTTGTCCTACACAGCTGTGAAGAGCCTGTGAAAGCACCCTTCTTCCAGAGAAAAGGCCCTGCTCCAGACTGAATTACCTACCTCCTCCAGCCTCTCCTCATAGGGCAGGAGCTCCGGCCCCACCATCTCAGTGGTCTCACTTGAATTTGATCCAAATAATTGATTTCTTGCACTGGGGAGCCCAGAAGTAGCTGCAGCATTCAGATGCACCCAGCAAGTGCGGAGTTGAGGGGATGACCACTTCCCTCAGTCTCTCACCACACTGCTGTTGGCTGTTACTGCTGCGAGGACTGACTACTGGCCCATGCCCCACTCACTGCCCACTGGGGCCCCAGGGCCTTTCCCTCAGAACTGTTTATGGTCAAGTCTGTACCAGCACAAGCATACCTTCATCACAGTCAAGGCACCAGGAGGCTCTGACCCTTTCTCTGGACCTCTCCTCACCCTGCCCACAGATCAGGATCCCATTTAAGCCCACCCAGGGCCATTAGTCCCTGACACAGGGACACCATAGGATGTCAATTCCCAGCTCCCCACTGCCCTGCTGTACCTGGCCATGTGCCTAGCCAACTCAGGTCCCATTTGCAGGCTGATGTGGCTCAGCCTTGGCCCAGCACTGTTTCCATGGCCCTGCAGCTGTCCTAAGGCTGGGTCTGACTCTGGTTCACCTCACCAGGCCAGGTCTTGATCTACAGATTGATGTCCGTACAAGGAGCCTGCCCTAGTTACCAGGCCTGATGAGCATCAGGGAGGGATGCCATGCCATTGCTGTCATTCCCAAGGAGCAGCCTACTCTTGCCACTCTCTGACACCCAGATGCAGGACTCTGTTGGATGTTCCAGCTGGTACCACCAGCCTGCCTAGGTCCCTTGGGATGGCATGCCCTGAACATGCCAACCGGTCCCAAGGTTTGGTGTCATCTGCAGACTCACTGACAGAGCATGCCATCATCCCATCCTCAGCCAGGTCCCTGTGGGACTGCTTATTACCAGCCCCCAGGTAGAGATGACTCATCAACCTCAGCCTCGTAGACCAAACAAGCATCTGGACAAATTTTTAACCACCCAGACCATAACATCCTAACTTGGATACAAGACCATTATGTTAGCTAGTAAAGTCTTTGCTAATCTGAGGACCTCAAGTTGTGCCAGGGAAGCTTCAGGTTGGATATGAGGAAAAAATTCTTCTCAGAGTGGTGAGGCACTGGCACAGGCTGCCCAGGGAGGTGGTGGAGTTGAGGTGTTCAAGAAATGTGGAGATGAGGCACTGAGGGACATGGTTAGTGGGCATGGAGGGGATGGGTTGGATATATGATCTTAACGGTCTTTCCAACCTTAATGATTCCATGAAATGCAAGGTAAATGGCATGTGCTTCTTAGCCTCACCCTCAGCCCCAGCCATTCCATTGCAGAGGTGATTGGGTCGGATGGGCATGGTTGGCCCTCGGTCAGCACACACTGACTGCTGCCAGCCACCAGCTCTGCCCAGAAATGTCGTGGAGAGGGAAAGGAAAGCAGCAAGCAGGGAGGGACTGGTTGGCCAATAAGCAAATAACTCGAAATTAACGCTGTGCGTGTTTTCTCTTGTCCACTGGGATCGTCATATTTGGTATTCTGCTGGAGGTCTGTGGTTACCTGGGGTGAGAGAGCTTGGGAGACCAGAAACAAAAGCAAGGAGGAAACCAGGCTCAATAACTCCACTTCCAAAGAACCTGTTTGTCATGGTCTGTATGCATGGAGACTTGAGGTTCATGATATTCAAAGACAAGCAGCATTCATTTGTGCTCTCATTGTTTTGTATCTGAAAAATCCAGTCTGGCACGGAAGCTTATAGTCTTACGAGCCCCACATCCACCAGCACCTTCACTTCCTCACAGAATCATAGAACGGTTTGGGTTGGAAGGAACCTTTAAGATCATCGAGTTCCAACCCATGCTATGGGCAGGGACACCTCCCTGTAGATCAGGTTGCTCACAGCCCCAGGGAAGCGCAGGCGCCTCTGGTAAGAAAACACACAACTTTAGGAGACAAACCATCCGGGGTGTTTCCCGTTTCCATCATGGTAAACTTACAGCACTGCTTTGTTTTGTGAAACTTTCAATTTTCTAGACAGCATTGCCACTTCCCCTTCCACCGCTGACGGGACCAACCGCCGCACGCAGAGGGCAGGAGCCCAGGGCACGCTCCGGCTCTGCCCTGCGGCTGACTCACAAACAACATCGGCAACGCGCTGCCGGGGAAAACAGACAGCTGTTTCTTCAGGGAGCCCCGGCTCGGGGCGGGCTGAGCTGCCACTCAGCCGAGGGCCTCGCCCGGCCCCGGCCCCCTCGGGCCGCCCCGCAGGGCGGGGGGAGCGGGCGGCGGTCTCCCGCGGGGAGCGGGCGCGGGGCCGGCCCGGCCGCGCAGGCCCGGAGGAGGCCGCGGCCCCGGCCCCGCTCCAGCGCGGCGCGGCCATGGGCAGCCGGGGCTGCGCGCTGCTGCTGCTGGGCGCCGCTCTGCCGCTGCTGGGCTCGGCCGCTGTCAGTCCCGAGCGGAGCGTGGCGTGGGGCCCCGGGCTGGAAGCGGGGCTCGCACTGCCCGTGCGCTACTTCTACATCCAGGCGGTCAGCGCGACGGGACGCAACTTCTCCCGCTCTCCCCCAGGTACCGTGCGTGTGCTCGGGGCTGCGCTGCGGGCTGCGCGCCCTGCCCGGGGCGGCGGATCCGCGAGGAAGCGGTCGGAGCCGCTCGCAGTCTCGTCCCGTCCCCTCCCTTCCCCGCCTCGCTGCGCCGCCCGGCCGGGACCCGCAGCGCTGCTCGTCGCGCAGTTCGCGGCAGTGCTGGAGCCCAGCATGGGAATCGCGGTGCCCCGTGCACAAGTGCTAAAGCATTCTCCTCGCCCCTGCACACGCTAAGCTCGCTTCGGCTTTCTGCTCCAGCAGGCTCAGCGCTTCCGCTGTTCCACCGCTGCAAGGAGTGCTTGCCATCTCCCATTTGCTCAACCCGGCACTGAGCGGGGCGTGAGTTTTGCTGGCCGAATGCTTGCTGCCTTCGAGTTAACCTTCTCCTGGGGGCTGTCATTTAGGGTAAAAGTACTTCTGCATCTCGGGTTCCATAGTAAGGATACTTGAGATGATGACCAAACAGGGCTGAGGTGCTAGTCTGTACAGGGCAGAGCTAATTGACATTCATGGCCTCTCAAAGCCGTGCAGGAGCCTAGTTCTGCTCTTGGTAACTGCGTGTCAGAAGGCTGCTGCTTGGGAGGTCAAGGAATAGGCCAAGTAATTGAAAACAGCTAGCGTTTACCTGAAGTTTTCTCTCATGGCTGATGGTAGCACACAGCGCAAGAGCCGTGCCTTCAGCCCCGCAGCAACCCAGGCCCCCAGCTCTGGCCCCTCTCTGGCCCCTGTAGCAGCATGGTGCTGGCCTGCAGTGCGACTCTGGAGCAGCGCCCCAGGACCGCACACTGACTGCCAGACCAGGGCTGGTCTCAGCCTTGCAGGACTTGAACAGCAATTCCTAAAGG